GCTGTTTCAGTACTTGTTGGAAAGCCCTGCTATGATGCGGATCAGAAAAAGTCTGACTGTGACCCTTCAGGCAAGGACTCTCAGAGAGGAATTGAAAAGGTTAGTGTGGGCACATGGGTACATGACACTAACGGATGGATGAACTGTCAAATTCAATTTCTCATATTTCCCCTTTTTCCCAGTCTTAAATTCATCCCTGCTAAGGATTGGGACTAGATCTAGCAGTCTTGAATTGCCAGAAAAGCCTGGCTCAATGCCCTTGAGAGTTCCCTTCTCAGTGGAATTGACATGTGGATAGGAAGGGAACTGCCAAAGATTCTAGGACTGGTATCCCTAGTTCATAATGGGAAAAGGCACTGCTGGAATCAATGTCCACCTGTGACTTCATTCTTATGCTCCAAGGTTTCCGGACCTTCAGCAAAGAAAGAGCACTTCCCCAATCTGCTCATTCATGTAGGCATGTTCATCTCTGGAAGATGTGAAGCTGCAGACAAATCCCAGCACAAGCCAGAATGAAAGCTGAAGGGGGAATACACCTGACCTGAAGCCTTCATATTCTGAAATGCCTCTCCCCACAATTCTCAGTTCATTCCATAATTCCTTGCAGTTATCTGAGTTTGATAAACATGAGTAGGGAGAGAAGAAAGCACATAATGCTCCCTCAAAGAGTGAAACCAAGATGGTTTGATGACTTGCCTGAGAACAGAAAGTGCTCCCTTAATTCTCAAAATATAATAAATTAAATAATTACTTCACAGTGGCATTCAGATTTTGCCACCCGGGTGCTTCTCTCTGTCTCACAGTGGAGACAACAGTCTCCCCACCAAACACATGGACTCATAAAGTTCAGTGGTGAGGATTTCCTATCATTAAACATGTCCCAGAATTGTGGCTATTATTTTGTACTATCATTTATTGGAGATGAAGAATCAAATAAATACATAAATAAAAGTCCAACACTTGCTTTATCTCATTGTAGATCCTGACTGCTTCATTGCTCTCAGCAGACCAGAAGGAACCATTGGCAAAGGCTAAGAAACATCCAGAAAAAAAGGTCATAATAAATGAGCGGGGGCATTAAAGAGACCCAGAAAAGGCAGCTGAATAACCTGCCTCATTCACCTGGAAGTCTTTTTCTGGTTATCTGTGTGGAACACTTCTTTCTCTACCCGGGGTTTTTCTCACAGATGATCAAACCATGGATTGTTTTCTCAATTCCTGGGCTGTGTGTTTCTCTCCTTTGCTGGTTCTTTCCCTGTACTCCAAATGCCTTTGCAACACTCTAATACTAGCATGTGGAGTGGCTGGTTTTTAAGGTGTGTGTGTTATATTCTTGTCTCTTGTTACAATTTAATAGACCTATACACTGCTGAATATATTTTAAACTATTTCTAGGCAGAACTAACCATGAAAACCTGCAATTATGGGCACACAGATAAGTGCCACCCATGCTTTAAATAACTTAGAACTTGCAAGAACATACCATGGGTTCTCTTTTTGGGCTAAAAGAAAATCTGATTTGTTTTAATTGTATGTGTGTACATGTAAGTTGAGTAGTCATAATCATATTAAACTATAGTGAGTTGTGACTAAGCCAGTCCAATGGGAAATCTTTGAGCTCCATGACCTTCAGTGGAATTTTGTCAAAATTAGTTTTAAGGCCCATGTGTTTTTTGCTATGATAATCTATATATGGATAGGCAAAGCATATAAATGAGTGTTCTTAATGATGTAACAATGTATTCATATACAAAGATAATGAACAAATCAATACTCACTAAGGAGTTGTAGTGCTAAATGTCTGGGAACGTCTTTTGGATTGGCTGAAACCCCTTGCATTCATGAATGACATTTTTTATGATTATTTGTCCAGTTCCTCCAGGATTCTATCTGGTGGCCAAAACCAGAATGGCTGCTGTTGTAATTGTAAGATTGGTCCCAGACCCTGCTGGGACACCCAGGCCTGGGGGTAAAGCTATATGAGAGCAAACTCTTCCCTTCAGCTCTCACCTCAGCAATGCAGGTCTTTCTGCTACCTATGGTCTGGTTCAGCTCTTGCATCTTGCCAGACCTTTACTGCATCTGGTTCCTGCCTGCTTGTATCCTGCCTTGCTGTCTTGCCCCAGCAACACAGTTCTTCCTGTTTGCTGCAGTGCATTTCAGCTCCTGTATCTTACCTGTCCTTTGCTGGATCTGGTTCCTGCCTGCTTGTGTCCTGCCTTGCTGACTTGCCTCAGCAGCAGCACAGGTCACTTGCTTGCTGTTGCACATTCCAAGGCTTGCATCCTACCTGACCTCTGCCTGATCTCGTTCCTGCTTTGTCCTACTTTGCTTAGTCCTGCCTTGACTCACCCTGCCTTGCTACCATACCTTGCTTGCCACATCTTCTCTGCTCCTGAAGGCACTCCTTGCCAGTTCTGCAACTGCAAGGTAACTGTTCCTTGCTCTGTTTTCTTTTTTTTTAAAATAAATATTTCCCCAACATATACAATTATAAAGAAAAAAATACAGTACAAAAGAAAAAAAAATGTAAACATAAACAGAACAAAATAAAGTGAACAAAATAAACAAAATTGTGAAGGGAATTACAAACAAATGCAGTCCATATACTGCAGCCCCCTGAACCAACTCTCTTCATATCTTCCCATGCTCTATGAGAATTTACAAAAATAAAAAAAATATTAATTATTGCATACATGAACAGATTTTCTAAAAAATTCAAATTCTAATGCTTTCCTTTTCCCCTTCCAGACTCTCTTGAACTTTCATTAATCATGCTGAACACAATAAAATTTCTATTTGTCATTAATTCCTCTAATGGTCTTTTATTACTTATTTATTTATTACAAGCATTTATATCCCGTCCTTCCACAGAAGTGCTCAGGACAGCTTTTATTTATATAATTAGTTAGCTTTGCCATCACTGCATATTCTGCTTATCTATTTCCCATTCGTCAATGGTTGAGGGCTCCGGTGATTTCCATTTTGAAGTTATTATGATTCTTGCTGCCATAGTCATATACTTAAATAACTCTGACATATTTTTTAAAAGGGTCTCTGGCACGATATTCAAAAGCATGCTCTTGGGACTCAGGGAAACTTAATTTCAAAGATTTTCTGCATTTCTGCATGTATCTATTTCCAGAATGTTTGTGTTATTTTGCAGGTCCACCACATATGATAGAAGGTCCCATCTACCCTGTTACATTTGCAACATTTTACGTTATAATTCTTATCTACTGCAGCCAGTATAGAGACAGTTCCTGCTGAGGACAAAGCATCATAAACTGAAGCTTTCAGAGACCCAACCAGGACTCAGCTGCAGAATGTCATAGGTATCTGGAAGAAGTCCTCCTTTGAGGAGGGATCTGCTTACAAAGTACCCTTTACTCTTGAGGAACCCTCCTCTGTAACTGATTACTTTTTAGATTAATCGTTCTGGCCTGCCACTCCTCAGTGGCTAGCTGGTTACTCAACCTCTCTCTTAGAGCAATAATTCTCCTTCTCTTTTGAACGTGCAGAAATACGAGCTCAGCAAAGTGCAGTAATTAAATGCACATTTTGCTCCACATGCACTTTTTCTGAATTAAAAAAAAATAGTTCTTTGTTGTATTTTCTCAGGGAAAGAGCAGAATACAGAGGGCTTCTCTAGATGAGGTGGTACTTTACTGTAGCTGGCACTGTACTGAAGCTTTGTCTGATTTCTTTGTGGAAGAATTAGAGTGCCCTTCCCATGGTTCCTCCATGAAGTAGCCTTCCTCTCTGCCTTTCTTATATATTCCATTACAGACCACAAGGTGGTGCTGTAGCATACAGTCAACTTGCAAATAATATAGAGGCACCTTGTCCATTGTAAAACTCCCAGAGCCTATTGCTACCCTTAAGGAAAGAAGGTGGATTCAGACGAAAAAATCCTACAACTGATCCATGTGGAAAATCTTATCTAAGTGGGAAAGATCAAACTTCAGTGCGAGTCAATAAATGGGCAGTTGTCATACAGCAAGGTTCAACTCCCCATCCTTGATGGAATGTTGTATTGTTTTCAGAGCTATATTATATTATATTATATTAATTATATTATATTACATTAATATATAAAATGGTAGGGATGACCCCAGTCATGAAATATTACAAAACAGAGGGTAATATTTTTGAAAATATTTGCCATGGACAGATAAAGGAATTCCAAGTATTAAATAGACAATCTGAGGTATAGGATTTAAGTTTATTAACCATAACCTATTATTAGTCTATCATTAACCTTAGGTTCATTAGCCTACCCCACAAACTTGAGCATGCTCATCTGTGTATTTCTTGCGAAATCTCATTTTAATCAGTGTGTTCAAGTTTAGCTTCATCATTAGAGATGATATCTTGGAGGAGGGCCGTTTCCACTGTCAAAATTGCCAGTTGGCTAATACACCAGGCAACATATTGCCCTCATTGATTAGGTGTTGAAAGATTCTGTAGAACTGGAGAGTTTTCAGTTATTTCACTGTTATGTTTATCGTTTTGCATGTTGTGTTCATGTTCATTCTTTACACTAATCCAGATTACATTGATTAGTCAAGAGGGAAGAGGGACGTTTTTCAAATGAACAGATAAATGTGAAGTGGTTTTATGAGCAGCAACCCAGTGATTCCTCGATCTGGCTAGGACTAGCCAGGTGTGCAGATCCAGTGCTAAGAGTTTCAGACCACAATCTGAAGAACTGCCCTTTACCTTTCATATCCATCTATGGTGGGAGCTGAGGAAGCCACAGTGCTGTCCGACCACTCTTCCTTTTGCCTTTGTAAAGAACTGGTGTCCAGGTGTGTAGCACAGTTGGCTCAGGTGCTCATAGACAGGGCCAGACAAGAAATGAATGGGAGAAACTGTAACTGCCTCATCACCTGTAGCAGAGAACACTGGAAGAAAAACGTGGGCCTCAGATTGCCACTAGTCAACCCTTCCCAAGGTGCATCTGTGCATTAAGATAGTCCGTAGCACACCTTTTCATTTCAGTTGGAGTCCATTATTAGTATTTGAATTGGCACACATTTGTTGATGGCCCTTCTTAGAGACTTGCTCACCTCCTTATTTCTCAAGCTGTAGATCAGAGGATTGACAAGAGGTGTAATGACCATGTAGAAGAGGGAGAAGATTTTGTTCATTCTGTGCAGAGCATCAGTATCTGGGAGCAGGTATGCTGCAATTAATGCTCCATAAAATAGGGTTACTACAGCAAGATGAGAGGAGCAGGTAGAAAAGGCTTTCTTCCTCCCAGTATCGGACGGAATTTGCAGGATGGTGGTGATGATGCAAATGTATGACGCAAGGGTCAGCAGAAATGGGGGCAGTGTTAGCAGAGAGGTGGTTACGAAGCTAGACAAGAGCAGAAGGTGGGCACCGCTGCAGACATGTTGCATCAAAGGCTTGAAATCACAAACGAAATGGTCAATTTCAGATGGGGCACAAAAGCTGAACTGTGACATTGTTAGTACAATGGCAGTGACTATAAAGGAGCCAGTCAGCCAAGAGGCAAGGGCTAACTGGATGCAGCAACGACTGTTCATAAGGGACGTGTAGTGAAGTGGTTTGCACACTGCAAGGTAGCGGTCGTAAGACATCACTGCCAGCAGATAACATTCAGTTGCTGCCAGAAATCCAAAGATCCAGAGCTGCATAACGCAGCAACTAATAGAAATGGTTCTATTCCCTGTTAGAAGGCTGGCCAGCATTCTTGGCAGAATGGTGGAGCTGTAGCAGGTCTCTAAGCAGGACAAGTTTCCCACAAAGAAGTACATGGGGGTGTGAAGGTGCTGGTCAAAAGCCACAAGGGCGATGATGAGGATGTTCCCAGTCATGGTCACAAGGTAGATCAGTAGAAAAATTAGGAAAAGGAAGATCTGCAGATCTTGGCGATCACTGAACCCCAGGAGGAGGAAATGGTTTATGAGTGTTTGGTTTTCTTTTGGGATGCTACTCATGGAAGACATTGGCTAGAAGTCAGGCAGACATAAAAGAGACTTTAGATGAATGTAATTGCAAATGAGATAATCAAAACAAAAGGCAGACTTGTAAAAATGGGACATGTGGATTATGCAAGATGTTTGCCTGGCTTCTGGATCAAGAATGCAAAGCAGATGGACTTAGGAAACATTAATTATGCTTAATGTACAAACACTGAAATCAACTGGACTAAATGGAGTCCAGATTCACTTTCCTATTAACTTTAGGGGATCTGCAAAACCTGGTCTATGACCAGAGCTGGAATCCCAGGCTCAGGAGAACTTGTCCTCCAGCTTTGCTGCTAGAAAGAACTGTGCCGGGCATGGTCCTGAGGTTGCAGGGTAGGGGGGACCTCACTGGATTGTACTGTAGAGCTATCACTCAGTGTGCATGTGTGTGAGAGGAGGAGAAAAACATGCTGGCTTGCTGGCAGATGTATCACCATTACTTAGACCCAAATCATTGAAAAGAACACTGGACCTGAACTTGAAATAACCATTCATTGTGCTTCTAACTGCAACAGAATCTGATAGAAATGAGCTGCCTCCCATCCCCACCAATTTAGTCAGGAAATACATTCCCTTGTGCTGTAGATGGGTCAGATTTTATATATTAGAAAAATACCTAAGGAATGTTTCAGAAATCCATTGAACTATGGCTTGAATCTTGGGCCCTGAGTCTTTCCATAACCACTTTGCAGTAATTGTTAACATCATGAAGTGGCATTAAATCATTCTGTAAACTAAGTTTTGTAAATCTGTAACCTGAAACTGGATCCATCCATTACTTCTTGATGATAAACTGTCTTCCCTGGTAATATTAACTGAGACATTGTTGTCATTACTGTTTACATCAAACTAGGATACTTCAGCAGTTGCTCCTTACCAATGATGGAATTCATCAAACGTCATGGCTATCTTCTGCATGAGTTGGAATTGTTTCCCGCAGAGAAAGTGGCAGAGACTTCCTCTTTCTGTCTGTTTTGCTGTTGCTGAATTGAGCATTCACAAAAGCTTGCATCTCCTAAGTCTGTCATCACTTGCTTGCATGTTTATATATTTTTCAGAAGTGGGCTGGTTTTCCCTTCACTCTATGCAAGTGTGTAAAGGGAACTTTTTTTTGGACAGAGAATCTGAATAACAACTGAAACAAATGTCTGTATCCTTAAAACAGCCTTGTGATAACTGCTATATGGAACAATCAATAATCTACTGGGAACACAAGCCTGTGTGGCTATTAGGAACAGGCAAGGGAATTTTGTAAGCATTTGTTTTCATTATTAAATCCCTTTGAGTATTCTTGTTTCCTTGTGGTATTATTCCTTTTGTCACAGAACTTGTCAATTTTTTTCTCATTTGTATTCCTCTCCTCTCCCTTATTTTTTGTTTTTCCTTTTATTTCTTTTTTTATTAGTAGCATTATTTTTTCATGTCTGAAATAACTGCTCAATAGCTGAAGCTTTCTGGGTGGTTCACAACAGTTCATTGAACAATACAATAAAACATCATTTCTTTCCAAAATACAAACATTTAGAAACAAATTAAAAACAGCCAAATCACCAGATGGTGTAAGATAGAACTGTGAACCACCTAAGCCTTTAACTGAAGAAGTCTACCTTGTATTGTTGACTTGACGTTATCCAAGCTTGTCAAACCCTTTTCAAATGAGTCTGAGTAGTTCACCTGTCAAGGTAGTCTCCAAATGGAGATGTGGAAGAGACAAGCGTCAGTTCACACTTCAGAAAGGCCCCAGGAAGAAAAGATACAGGCAGCATTCTAATGGTGCTTCCAAGCAAACCACCATCTTCCTTGGAAGTTTTTCCACCTCCTCAAGCCTTTAACTATCCCTGCATGTTTTTAAATGCCTCTGCATAGCGGACTATGTTGACCTAGTGCTGAATGAATGACAAGATTGGCACCAGGCAGGCAGGCAGGCAGGCAGGCAGGCAGAGAGAGCATCCCATGGTTGGGAGAGGGTTGCCACTGAGAAGGACCTCCCTCTTGTTGCTTCCCTCCAAACCTCCCATGGATTTGGCACTTGGAGGAAGGCCCTGCATGTTGACCGTAGTGTGGCTGGAAGTGTGGGTGGAAGATGTACTCCACCATACTGATTTCAATAGATGACTCGGGAGCTTTGCCTTGCCTATAATTCCACTGTTTTCTATCCAAGCAGGATAGAATTTTTAAATCTTGCACTATTCATGATAAGAGCATCCCTTTGGTTGGATGAAACTCTTAGGGTTACTTTCCTTCCTATTGAATTTAAAAAAAACTAAGTTCTTTCCATCCTTATTGTAAAGAAATATATACATTTTGGCAAATGATTATAAAAATGATCAGGAATGAAACTCTGACCCATCTTTACTGACCAAATTCAATAGGTGTAGCTATTAGCAGCATGAAGAGGACTATGTTGTACCTGCCCACCACATTAAAGATGGGAAGCCCATCAGAAGAAGCAAAGGCAGCCCTAATTCTGCACCAAGTACAAGGTGATGTTGACATATAAAGCTGTAAGCAGCTTGGAAGCAGGATTCTTCCATATCAGGTTTCCCATTCCCTGAGATCTACAGCTAGGGTTCTCCTAGTTGTTCCCCCTCTTGTGCATGTACCTCTGATTGCAGCCAGAAGGGCCTTTGCTGTTACGATGCCCACCTTTTGAATGCCCTCCTCCTTGCAGTGCACTGGGTGCCAGCTTTGCAATATGAACTAGGTGCTTGCTGATTTGATTATCTAGCTTAGTAAATGTTTTGTTTAATCACAACATTGTATTTTATTTTAATCCCTGCTATATGAGACTTTGTACACCAATCTGTCATTTGGCAAGGAAGAGTACCATATAAATATCGTAAATAAATACATAATGGAGCACACTTGACTGAATCTAAACATTCACATTATGAGCATCAGCATAGCATTTATGTATAACCCTCTTCCATAAGTGTTCCAAGTAATCTTGGTTCCAGTACAAACAAAGGTAGAAGAAGTGAGGGAGGGATATGTCTTCATATCTGATGCACCAACACAACTAGCTTTTGTGCAGTTCTGAGGCCAATGCTTTTAGACACTTGATCCCTCGTCATGGAAGTAGAGGAGAGCTGTATTTCTGCAAATAGCAATGAAAGTAACCTGTTGATCCATCTCTTCTGGTATGCGAGCTTCAGTCATTGGAAGCCAACACTGAATTCTAATTGATTTTTTTGCAGTCTTCAATCATCCACAGGTATTGAGAGACAGCAAGAGAGAGAAATCTAATGATTTCCCCCAGAGTCATACATCTACCTGCTCTGCTTAAACTCTAGAACAAAGCTCGTTAGTAGCTTGCTGTTGTGGCCTTAAGAAACCTACAATACAATATATGCCAGAGGAGACTATGAGTTCCCTGTGGAAAAGAGAGAGGCACTGAAATAGAGGAAAAGAAGCACTGTGATGAGACATACATGGTAGAAAATAGGTGAAACTGCAAAAGTGCCTTTCTTTCATTTGAAGAAAGAATGGTAGTCCTAAAGAAGATGGGTGAAAAGAATAGAGGCTGGGTCCAGAAAAGAGGCAGAGCACATGAGGTAGATGGTCTTGTAACATCACAAAGCCACTTTACAATATACGGATTTTTTTAAGAAGTTGGGGTTTCAGTTTAGAAACCAGAATTGGCGGGGTGGTGGTGGAGTGGATTGTTAATGCATGCTTCACTTACTTGTATGGCTCCCAGATTAAAGCCAGTCTCGAAAGGAGTCAGCAAATGGATGGGGTCATGCAAAAGGAGGTCCAATCTGGGGTTGTGGCTGGAGTACTGGACTTAGATTAGGGAAACCAGAATTCAAATGTCCACTCAAATGCAAAATTTAGAGGATAAACTTGGGCCAGGCATGACATCTCAGTCTAGCCGATTTCATAAGATTGTTAAAAGGGCAAAGCACGGAGGTGGTGGTGATGGTGAGACCATGCACGGATGGTGCTCTGAGCTTCTCTGAGGAAGGATGGGATAATACTAAAATATTGCCATGTTCATTCTGAATATGATCATTTTGTCTGCTCAGGAGATCTAGCCACTATACAGCAGAACCAGAGGTAGGTGACTTGATTGTGAAGACCCAAGTCCGAAAATGTGATGCAATATTATTTTGGGCATAGGAAAAAGAGTCTGCATTTCACAAGTTTATCCCTTGCATAAGTTTATCCCTTAGATGTATATGCATGTATTTGCAATGCTGTGTATGTTGAGACAGAAACACATCCTGCAATTCCTAGCATTTCACAGCCAGTCACTTTCCAAGTCCTCTGAAATATAGAGATGAACAGATAAGGCAGGTTGAGCTCTCCAGTGCCTGGGAGCTGCAGCTGGCAAATCCTACTTTCCAGAATGGATAAGTAAGCCTTTAAAATACAGAATTGCTAGAGCTTTATATCTGTTTCCACACACAGGAGAGTGTTCACGCTCCCTTATTTCAGCCATTTGCGCTGGCGTGACTAAACGAACAATGGAGTACCATCTTGATTAACAAATGTCTGATGGTGCAGAATAGCTGTAATGAAGTCTGTTGAATGGGAGCTTCTTATTGCAATTTGTATAGAGTCCACAAAGAAAACATGATTCTTCCTGTATTAAGAACTTTTCTGGGATTGTCTCCAGAAGAGCTGTAATGTTTTAGGTCCCAGATTTTTTGATTTTTTGGTATTGCAATGTAAATTAGGGATAATTCTGTTGCATCCATTTTAAAATGTACTGTTTTTGTTTAATTATTCTTAATTAGTTGTACCTTTTGCATAAAAAACTTACATTCATCTGTGATTGCAATAAACCATTAATTTATTCACTTTCCAAGAAGTCTTAAGTATGAGGACTTTGGGAACATTCCCTCTACCACACACACCAGGCTAGAGTCAGTTTTAAAGCCTCTCATGTCCTATGTATGTGAACTGTTGTCATTAATGCAGGATGCAAAGCAGATCCCTTGATGTATTTATTACATTTCTATAGTGCCTCATAGCTGTAAGTGTTTGTAATCTTAATGTGCATGCTGCTAACATAGGTCCCCCCTTTTTAAAGGACTAAGATGATGCTCTACTCTTTTTCCCTTCTCCTTTGTTGTTTTTCTGAATCTTTGAATATGTTCCAAGAATGTAACACAGAAGATCTGGGTTCTGGCTCCCCCTTATCCTGGTGCTCATTGGATGACTAGATGAGCTGCTGATTCTCAGCCTAATGTACCTCTCAGGGTTGTTGTGAGGATAAACGGGAAGGGAGGGGGTTAGGTAAGCTGTCTTGCATTCTGTGCAAGAGGGAAAAAAGTGGGATATAAATGTAATAAATACAATTAAAATGTGTACAACATTTAGGTCAGGTTCCAAAGAACTGTGGAATTGGTTTTGCAAGCTTAAGCATCTCAAATCATGAAGATCTTCCTTTATTTCTGCATTACTATTTCCCTTTCCCCTTATTATTTATTAATATTACTATATGTGGGTTGGATCTATGCTACATTTCAGAACTTAATTACCATTTATGTAGATGGAGCCTAACTGCAGCTTGCTTAGTGTAGATCCCACTCTATACTATATATTTAGCAATATAGAATAATAAAAAAGAGTGGATGAATGAGTGATGTGAATTAATTTTCTCTCCAAGGACTACTACTACTATTGCAATTCTGAGAAGTAAAACTGATGAGCACAGTTACAATAAAGTCCTGCAGCCATCAATTCAGATGTAAGTTCCACTGAATTCACTAGGGCTTACTTCTAAGTGAGCATAGGATAGCAGCCTTACATTTCTTTCCATTGCATATCTTTGTATTAATCCATCTTTGCAATGGGGTTCTTAGGAGGACTGGGCATCATATGGATTTGTAGTCAACATAAAATATGAATTGGGTGGGGATAAGGCTTTTTTCCATAGACACTTATGATTTTAGCTGAATATGTGAACTTTGTCCTTGAAATGTAAGATCCAATCAATGATAGTTAATAGGTGATGGCTGTTTTCCAAAATACATCATCACTCATTACAGATCACTGAGTGATAAACATCTTCTGCAAATTCTTCAGAAAATGTGGATCTAGAGACACTTGATCAGTCTCGATCTATTCATTCTTTCTAGAATGGAAATCCTGTAATTTGCTCAAACTATCCAATATTGTTTCTCTGTGTTGGAAAACTGCTTTCCATGTGGCTTTCTCCACTTCTGTCTTGATTAGTATCTGCTTTATCCCTGCAATTAAAAACATACTTGTAGAAAAAAAAAATGAAAAGAACTACACAAATCATTTCCACCGAGTTAAAGATACATCTATTTGATCTTTGCAGGCATGAATTTATATAATGGCACAGTCCAAACTGGAAAACCAGACAGTGCTCACTGAATTCATTCTGCTGGGGTTTGGCAATCTGGGAGATCAGTGGTCCCTTCTCTTCTTTCTCTTCTCAGTGATCTACATTGTGACCATGGCTGGAAATATCCTCATCATTGCCCTGGTGGTGGTTGATTGCCACCTTCACACCCCCATGTACTTCTTTCTGGGTAACTTGTCCTGCCTGGAAACTTGCTACAGCTCCAACATCCTTCCCTTGATGCTGGCTAATTTTTTCAATGGGGGGCAAAGGGTGATTTCTGTAACTGGCTGCATGATACAGTATTACTTTTTTGGCTTCCTGGCTGCTTCTGAATGTTATCTCCTAGCTGCAATGTCCTATGATAGGTATGTAGCAATATGTAAACCGTTGTTCTACACAACTCTCATGAATAGCAAGGTTTGCTTCCAGCTAGTGGCTTGCTCTTGGATAAGTGGTTCATTGGCTATTAACATAACTATATATTTAATGCACCAATTAAAGTTCTGTGGCTCAGGAGAAATCAACCATTTCTTTTGTGATTTCAATCCAATATTAAAGCTGTCATGCAGTGACACACAAATAATCAAACCATTAACAGCCTTCTTAGCAGCCGTGTGCTCCTTGCCTCCGTTTTTGTTGACCTTGGCATCTTATATCTACATCATATCTACAATTGTGAGAATCCCATCCATCAGCGGGAGGCAAAAGGCCTTCTCAACCTGCTCCTCACACCTCATCGTTGTGTCCATTTTCTACAGCACAATAATGATTGTCTACATTTTGCCCAAAACAGATACACTGCAAGACCTCAACAAAGTCTTCTCCCTTTTCTATACAGTCCTGACACCTTTGTTCAATCCTCTGATATACAGCCTTAGAAACAGGGAGGTGAAGGTGGTCTTCAGAAAAGCTGTCACTAAATTTTGTGCATCCAAAAGAATACAGAGCTTTAAGTGAATCTGCTTGCACCCTGAAATGCTGGCTTTTGTTTTTTTTTAATTCTGCAAGGATTGTCATTTCTCTTTGGATAGGAATGAAGATTCTTTACTTACTTGCAGTTTCCAAATATATATTTGTTTTGCTTTTTGTTTTCATCCTGTTATTTCATATATTTTTGTTTTACAAATAAATTGCATAAACTAGAGATGAGCCAAGTGGTTGGCTCTTTCTATTTTATATTGATTTTCATATTTTGAGAAATAGAAAGTTTTCTTTCATTTTTAAAGGTTTGTAAATTATATGAACTTTGTTTAGCGTGTGTGCATGGTCCGAGCTGGGCAGCCAAATGTGTTTATTCATATATGCCATATTTAAATGTCAAGTGGTAAGTAGGGCTTCTTTGCTTTTTTGCATGAGATGGAGTGAGGAGGGCAGAATAACCCCATGATAATCCTTGATTGGGTTCAGACAAAACAGATAACCACACTCAAGGGCAGAATGTGGTTTAATGTGGATTGTTGTTGAACCACGGGTTATTGTTGAAACATTGGTATCATCTTGTCTGAACCCAGCTGTGTTAGGAAACTATGGTGTATTAACCAGGAAAATTATGAAGAGAAATCAGTGTTAGGTAATGAGTTGTGAGCTGTGGCTGTTTGTGGCTAACTATCATGGGTTATTTTTTTTTAGCACAACTGGGTTCAGATATATAATGATTTATATTTCAGTAGCAAACCATGGCTCACTAACAACACACACTTAACCCATGTGCAACCCTTGAAAAATGGTTTTCCTGTTGTGTGAATCCAGTCCTTACTTTAGTATGTTTCATCATTTAATGTACATTTCAGAACTGAACGTAGACATGAATGCATTCCATGGTTCTGATCCATGCATTTCCAGGCTTGAATACAATTCACAGGAAAAAAAAACCTTGAAAAAACCATGTATATTTAAAATAGAGGTATACTTTTGAAAAACATGCTCAGACACACTTGAATCAATGGGAGAAAATGTGTACTTTTCAAAAATGCACAAAATTTTGTATACCTTGGCTCAGTCATCAATTCAAAAGGAGACTATAGCCAAGAAATTCAAAGAAGACTGAGACTTAGAAAGGCAGCAATGAAAGTACTAGAAAAGATCGTCAAATATAAGGATATTTCACTACAGACCAAGTCCAAATTCATTCAGACAATGGTATTCCTAGCCACAATGTATGGATGTGAAAGCTGGACAGTGAAGAAAGCTGACAGGAAGGAAATGCATGTGTTCCAAACATGGTGCTGGAGAAGAGCTTTGGACTGTCAGGAAGACTGAATGTGAGGGTCCTTGATCTAATCAATCCAGAGCTTTCCCTAGAAGCAAAAATGACAAAACTGAGGGTGTCATACTTCAGACACATCATGAGGAGTCAAGACTCACTGGAGAAGACAATCATGCCAGGAGAAGTTGAAGGCAGACCAGATATGAGATACATCAACTCCCTGAAGGAAGCCACAGCCTTGAGTTTGGAATAGCTAGCAGGCCTGTCATGGATAAGACATTTTGGAGGGCTTTCATTTGTAGGGCTGCCATAAGTTGGAGACAACTTGACAACACACAACAATGTATAAAACATGCACAGAAATAGGAATATATTTTCATGCAAAATAGAAAAAACTTGCAATCTGATACAGTTATGAGGTGGAACAAGCTTTGAGGGTTAGGGGCAGGGGCAGGGTTATAAAAGAGGGTTTGCCTCTTTTACAGATTTGCAAATCCTATTGAGGTAGCTCTCACCTGACTTTTACAAGATTACAAATAGTTACTTGAGCATGGGGGTGGTTTCATTCCCCTCACTGGTGCTCATCATTTCATGAAAAAATAGCTCTTCAGCACTGCTTTATGTATGAGTGGGGCAGTCTTGTTAATAAACGCATGGGACTCCACCACCAGATCTTGTTTGGCTGCAAATCACTAACATAAAGCACTGCTCATAGGCTTTTTATATCAGTAGAAAGACTCAGAGTCTTCCTCTACATGTCCAGAGAAAGTCTGAAGGCTTCCCAAAGCTCTAGGCACTCCTCGTCCCTGCCTCTGGTGTGCCTGGCAGCTCCCCTCACCCACACATTTATGTAGCATGCCTAAGAAAGTACATGCCAGTGTAGCCCCCGGGTTGAATCTCTCAATGGCTTCCATCAGTTCCACATGGTTTCCTTCCATGAGTACACCTCCTGAACAAAGGTTGAGTAGGAACATTTCTGACACTCCCTTCTTAAAAGCAGCGGTAGAGAGCCCCAGACCGGATCTGGAGAGCAGCCCTGGGAAGAGAAGTTAACCCTTTCCCTTGCCATTTCCTGATGTAATTTGCCTCCCCCAGTTGCTATTAGTTGTGGTAATGGTGGGGGTACAGGTACGATCAATGGTCTCCCAAGGTTTTTCATAGTATCATGCATTTTTGCAGTTTTAATCTTTGTAAACTTTCCAGAGAGCTTTGGCTGTTGAGTGATAATAAAATGAAATTAAATATACTGTTTGGCCTATAGTAGTTGTTTGTGCCTGCATTATCCCCTGTCCATCTAGGGCTACAAGCTATTAATAGGTGAACCTTACTCAAGATGAAGTACTTCCCAGGTTCTTTCTTTCCAAAAGAAGCAATGTAAGCAAAGACTTAGGCTCCCATTGAAATCCAAGTGGATTTTAAAATAATCCACTTTGACTGGCACATGCCCAATTAACTTTAAAAGTGTCTTCCTACAGAGTAAATTACATTGGAAATAAAATTTAAAACATTCTTTTATTTTTTCTTGCTACTCTTAAATTACTATAGTGCGTTTCAAGGTAGCTTTAATTTCATGGAGATTTAAAATAGTTTGCAGTTACCCCTGTGCATAGATATCAAGGGAGGGTTTGACTTCCTGCAGGAAAAAAAAGAATCAATAAGATGAGTTATATATTTCTCTTGCAGGATAAATATGAAATAAAGGTGCTGTGCCTGTGTAGATACAATAGATGCAATAAAGATTCATGCTGAGTACTTGGAGCAGTTTGTTCATATAAACAGCCAGATGCTGGAATAAAGATCCTGGGATATTTGAAGCCCTTTGAGTTCAGGAAAAAGAGGAAGAAGCGCATGCTGAACTTTCTCATTCACTTATCTCATACAGAGACTTAGCTGCTCCTGCTGACAGAACTCACAACTCTCAACACTGTTCATTGTAGGGTAGACATCAGAAGGTAAGCCAACCTTTTCATACACATTTTCAGAACTGGAAGAAGCAGGGCCTGTGTCTTCCCACCACAAAATGCTTGATATTGCAATTCATATGGAACTTTTTATCAAGAGATGTTAACAAAACAAGCAGGAACTGTAACAAGATGTTGCAATTTCAGGCATTTATGATCAGGATTCTAGCCAGTGAGCCATGCTTTTTTCCATGAGACTCCTATCCATTCCCACCTGGAATAATCAGTAGGCATTCCATGGGCCCTGAACATGCCCATCCTTTAGCATCTCTTTGGGCCCCCTTTCCCTACTTCTCCAGTCCTTGGGTTATCTTAAGTTATGTCTTGGAAATGGTACCAGTTTAGCTACATAAGGATGGACAATTAAGGAATGCATTGATCATTAGTAAATGTTGATCATTGGAAAAAATGCAGACAGGAACCAAAACAGTGACCAAAACCAATGCTCTATCCAGGACCTTTCTATAACTCTGCAGCCAAGGGATCTAATAATAATTTAAATAATCCCTTCCTTCTTTTCCTTAGTCACAGTATGCAACTAGTGCTGATTTGCACTCTGCCCCCAAGTATCAGACCCTGGAACAATTCTCCTCCTTGTAACTCCCTTCCAGGGTAACTAAAAAGTTACATGGGAGGTGGTTTCCTGTGTTGAGCCATGTTGGACCAAGAATATGCTGGACATGTTAAATATATGAAATTAAAATGGATAGGGGGATTCCTTTACAGATTTGCATTGTTTTAGAGCCATTGGATCTCCAGTGGAATTAAGACCTGTGCAATTTTAGGCTGTGCACTAGAAAAAAGGGCATCGAACAGGCAAGTTCATGTAAGGTTGCAAATTGCCCATGAAATAATTTGAGCCAGTCATCTAGTCTCAAGTTATTGTCCAACCACCAAAGTAAAGTTGATTATAAATGGGTACTTGTATTCTTTTTCCAGTGTGCTAGATCATATTCATATGTCTCTCTGGGAAAAGCAAAATGGAGAAAATCAAACCATGATCATGGAATTCATTCTTCTGGCATTCAGGGGCAGTCAAGATTTACAGATTCCTCTTCTGTTGCTGTTTTCAGTGATTTACATTGTGACCATCAGTGGAAACCTTCTCATCGTTCTGCTTTTGTGGCTGATAAGCACCTCCACAGACCCATGTATTACTTTCTGGGCAATCTATCTTGCCTGGAGACCATCTACAGCTCAACCATCCTGCCCAGGATGCTGTACAGTCTCTCGACAGGAGATAGATCTATTTCATTAACTGGTTGCATCACACAGTTTTACATTTTTGGCATATTGGTTGCCACAGAGTGTTTCCTCCTGGCTGCAATGTCCTATGATCGTTATCTTGCCATATGCAAGCCATTGCGCTATGCTACCTATACGAATGAGGGATTGTTTGTCCAGCTGGCAGCTGGATCCTGGGTGGCTGGGAGCTTGGCCATCACCATAACATCATCTTTAATGTCACAGTTGGTCTTTTGTGGCACAAACGAGATTTACCACTTCTTTTGTGATCTTGACCCAGTGATAAATCTGTCCTGCAGTGACACCAGAATCATAGATGCCTTGGTTTTTATGCTGTCATCACTGTGTGCCTTTCCACCTTTCCTCTTGACCTTGGTATCCTGTGTTTGCATCATCACCTCTGTCCTGAGAATTTCATCAACCTCTGGAAGGCAGCAAGTTTTCTCTACCTGTTCCTGTCACCTCATAGTGGTGACCATGTTTTATGGAACCCTGGTTATCGTCTATGTCCTACCAAAATCAAGGCCCCTGAAAGACCTAAATAAAGTCTTTTCTTTTTTGTATACCATATTAACTCCTCTTGTCAACCCTCTCATATACAGCCTAAGAAACAAAGATGTGAATGAGGCTGTGAAGAATGTTGCCAGAAAGCCTGCAGTTCCTACAAGGAGCTAGCACACAGCACAGTTACTTGGACAATATGACTTACGTATTTGGGGAATGTCTATCTCAACTGTTTGCCTAAAGATTCCAAGCTGATGGCAATAGGGGAGCATAATCTATCCTGCCCCTCGCATGTGCAGTCCAACAACTAGGACCAGGAAGTACAAGATGGTTTGATCCTTTAAGACCAGGAAGATGTTGGCCCTTTGCAGGCATGACCCCTCATTTCTCAGGCAGCTTATGAAATAAAAGAATAGCTACCAATCAACGTGGTCTGTATACTGAACTTGAGATAACACATAATTCCCCTTTTCTCCACCATTGAGGTGGCTAATTCTGCACTGCCAAAAAAGGAGGGGAGCATCACCTGCAAAGGAAGATGCCAATTAGTATGGGCATCTGCATATAGACTTATGCTTGGAAGGAAGTAGTATGACTTAAATAGAGATGCAATACTTGAATTTCACCATACTGGGGAAGGGTGACTTCTCTGCCTCCTCTCCCTTTTTATATTTATCTTTAAACATGTACTTGACAGCCTTTCAAATACAGACATAATCTATGTAAACTAGGATATGTGATCACCCTACCCATCTTTGAATTCTAAGAATATTTGGAAAGAGTGATTTATGCAGGACCAAAAAAATCTGGCCAGAGGCCAGCAAGAAATAAAGATATTGTAGGAAGAATTGTTGGAAAATGTAATTGTGGGTGGACAGTTTTTATTTGCATCTGTGTGGGCGGGAAAGGGATTTTAAAGGGATATGAGCATGTAGCTAGATAAATATCTCATTATTTATTTATTTAAAACATTTTTATGCTGCCCCCATCGCAACAAAGCCTCAGGGCAGCTCACAACAAAAACAAAATACATAAATATAACAATTGTACAAATAAAAGTATTAAAACCCTTTGTAGTGTAGGTGTAGTGATGAAAAGATTTGCTTCAGCATATGTGGCCATATACAGTGAAGATGCATGAGAGTTTAGCTAGCTTAGTGGTTCCAATCTTTCAACGTCTTTCTAAAGTATGGAGTAAGTAAAGGCCTTTTGTAACTTTGCAGCTCTAGATCCTTGTAATTATTTACATGGAGAGATTGGCTTCATCCAGTTTGTCTGGACAATCAATTGGGCTTTTTGCCCTGATTCAGTGCTACAGCATAAGCTTTGCATGAAGAAGGTATAAGTTTAATCCCTACCATCTTCAGCTGAAGGAATCAGGTGGTAGGTGACCTCTTGGCCAGAGGACTTCAGACCTTGGAAGCTGGCACCACTCCAGGCAGGTAATATTGAACAATACTCTGACTGGAAACAAAAGGAGTTTTCTCTGAATGTGGACATCAAACACCAACAATTCTAGGAGTTTCTCAAACACTAGAATGCTTGGAAGCTGTGCCACCAAACAGGTCAGGTGCTATGCCATATTCTTTACAGGAAGGTGACACTGCAGACCATCAGGATGTATTGCCTGAAAAAGGCTTTACATGGCTGAGCTAATCCAGAGAAGCATTGAATTTTAAACAACACAGGGAATCCCATGAGACATGAAGCAACATAGAGCTCTCCTGTGAGTTTAGGAAGGTGGTTGCATCAGTAGTGTTCTTCAGACAGTCAGAAAACCAGCACTTACTCTTCCAATATCACTTCTTTTAAATGCTCATGAGACAGCTTTCGCAGGGACAGCTAGAAACACTTCCCTGCTCAGATTCGTTTTTCATCAAGACTTTGAAGAAAACCAGTCGTCTCTGAACATAACGACAATTTGCTGCAGGTAAGTTCTAACTTCAGTCCCTGCTCTTCTTTGGCAGGGCTATCCCATCTTTCAAAACCTTTCATTGGCATCAAAGCACCCCACCTCATCCCTTTAAGGATTTTTGGACAAATGACAGTAGGAAAAATTGAGTATATGCTCAGCCAAATGTTTTAATATCATGATACCATGGTCTTCTGCCATACCCTAGTTTTAAAGGCTGAGGACATTTTGGCAGAGTATTCTGTGCTGTTTTTTAGAGTAGATAAATATTTGCATATGGCAGATGATGCAGGGCATGCTCCATTCTGCTCATTTAATCTTCAGGGCTGATATCATTTGATCCATGAACTTGACCATTAAATTGATCTTGAGCTACAAAACAATGCTTCTTCACACACTGTGCCTGATGCACTTACCCAATTCACTATCCTAAGTCAGTTGACAAGAACTAGATATAGCAACTTATATGGCACCTATTCAGATAGCTTTGAAGGTAGGAGAGACAAATTCATGAAGAAAACAACTATCAGTAGCAATCAGTAGACAGATCTGCCAGTAGTACAATGAAGGCAAAACAGAGATTCTGTCTTTGTGAGCCAGCATATATTTTCATAGTGTGCAAGCAGTGATGCTAGGCTGTGGCCATTAGTCCCTGCCTATTGGATTTATCTGGCTGGCTTTGCTGGGAACAGAATACTGGACCTGGACTTTTGGAATAATCCAGCAAGTCCATTCTGATGTTTTTTCCCATTAGGAACATAGGAAGATCCATGCTAGATCAGACGAAGGACTCATCTAGTTCATCTAGTCTGTTCACACAGAGGCCAACTGACTGTCCACAAACACCTTCATACCCATGTCTCCCCACAGCAGCTGCCTCTTCTCCTGAAAGCAGCATCTAGCCATTAGCCCTAGTAACCATGGATAAGTCTAATCCCCTTTGTGGATAACTGTAGATAACTTTGTCTAATCCCCTTCTGAAGCCACCTAAATTGGTGGCCGCCACCACATCTTGTGGAAGGGTGCTCCATAGCATGTGTGGTGCACACTGCACCATGTCAATGGAAAGTGTGTCCTAAAATGGCCACTGAATTCCTAAAGCCTGCAGGGAAAGATTGATGGTAGTGGGAGGTTGTCTTTCAAAAATGGTAGCATCAAGGAATGCCTAAGATATTTCCAGGAAACCACAGGGCTCTCTAGGCTGCCGCAGGTCAACAGTTACCTGGCAGTCGCCAGGACATCAAGCTGCAGCACAGAAAGCTGGGAATCCAGACTTTGCTTGAAGATCCAGATCCATCAGACCACACCTTTCCCAAAAGCGTTTTCAGCTGAGGACAGGACAAACTATTTAACTGTAATAATTGGTGCCTGAATTGCTTCTTCTTCCACCTTCCCATACTTTCCCCCCTTTTGGATGTATCTTTTTGACCATCAACCTGAAGCTAAGGGTGCTTCTGTTTTGGGGATTCCATGTCAGCCACACTGGGGAGGTTTACTGATTGAAGAACAAATTAAATATATTTAGAAAAGATATAAAGAGAATGAAGTTTGGAAACCATGCATGAGGATTAGGCTCCTGCTGGGTAAATAAGAAAACTTGCTGAGTTTCACTAAGGTGTAATGGAATTACATTAAGATCTTGTATATACATTTTCGTTGCTATGGGTCCATCAACATGCATTGTGCTGTATTCATATTCTAGCTTTTGCATGAGGTGCACTGGAATAGATCAATGTGGAATGCAGAGAAAGGCAACCAAACAGCAATCACAGAAGTTGTCCTTGTGGGTTTTGGGACTCGCCTGGAGCTGCAGCCTCTTCTATTCCTGCTCTTCCTCATGGTTTATATTGTGACAGTAAGCGGGAACCTCCTCATCGTTTTGCTAATTGCGAGTGACCGGCACCTCCACACCCCCATGTACTTCTTCCTGGCCAATTTGTCCTGCCTGGAGACCTGCTACAGCACCATCATCTTGCCCCCAATGTTAGCCAATTGGTTCACTGGAGAGAGAATCGTTGCTCTTCGCAGCTGCATAGCTCAATATTTTTTCTTTGGAACCAGTGCAGGTGCAGAAACATATCTTTTGGCAGTGATGTCTTACGATCGCTATCTAGCCATATGTAAGCCATTGCTTTATGCCTCTATTATGCACAGGAAATTGTGTTTGCAGCTCATGGTTGGGACAAGGTTTGATAGTTTTTTGTTTAACATCATAATAACGTATATGCTGGCTCAGTTAGATTTCTGTGGTCCAAATGTCATAGATCACTATTTCTGTGATTTAATCCCAGTGGAAAAATTGTCCTGTAGTGATACAAGTGTCTTTGATGTGGTCTTGCTTCTCTTCACCTTTGTTTTCACTGTGGCTCCATTTGTCCTGACCCTCACCTCCTATGCTTGCATCATTGCCTCCATCCTAAAGATCCCGTCCACCACTGGGAGGCAAAAGGCCTTTTCGACCTGCTCTTCTCATCTCCTGGTGGTCTGCATATTTTATGGGACAATCATCATTGTCTACATGTTGCCAGACACTCCCACTCTGAGAGACCTCAATAAAATCTTCTCCATTTTCTACACAGTCCTGACTCCCTTGGTCAATCCGCTCATCTATAGCTTGCGAAACAAAGAAGTTCACAAAGCGCTAAGGCGAGTTTGCCATAAATTCTGTTGAACTGAACTCATCCCTGAGCTGAAAGTTCATCAATAATCCAAGTTCTGAGTCAAAGGTGCTAAACTTTCCTCCCTTTGTGAGTGCTTGTCTCTTTCTTTCTCTGTGGATTCTGATTGGGATGGAGGTAAAAGAGAGTGTTAACATAGCTCAGCCCTTCCCCATGGCAGTTACTTCTTCAAGAAAAACCAATGACACAAAGGCAATTTTGCCTAACTTGGCTCTTAATTTAATTATGTGTGATTTTGCTTGCTTATATTTTATGCTTAAAAAGTAATTTCCCCCATGTGTCATACTGTGGGGAGTTTCCGGCTGACAAGACGGGTGCTCCTGTCAAGGCTCTGGTCGAACTGTGGAATGGGGAGATGACCAGGGCTGTAGACACGATCGCTCCTAAGCACCCTCTCCCACCGGGCAGAGCCTGCTCTTCCCCTTGGTATACTCCTGAACTGAGGGCGATGAAGCAGGTTGGGAGACGGCTAGAGCGTAGGTGGAGGAAATCACGGGATGAATCTGACCGAACACACTTAAGAGCCCACTATCGGGCCTATGCTGTGGCGGTGAGGGCGGCGAAAAAGAGATTTTTTTTCCGCTTCCATTGCCTCCTCACAATGCCGTCTGGTGGAGCTCTTTTGAGTGGTGCAAGGCCTGGTCCGCCCAGGCCCGAAAGAAGATCTGATTCTACCCTCAAAGGCCCGCTGTGACGACTTTGCCAGGCATTTCAGGGAGAAAATCGCTCAGATTCGTCATGAGCTGGATTCCACTATTGAGTCAGAGGTCTTAAGGGAGACACCGATGCCAATATCCCATTTCTGGGCAAGGTGTTAGAACGAGTGGTGGCGGGACAACTCCAAGCACTCTTGGATGAAACTGATTATCTGGACCCATTTCAGTCCGGCTTCAGACCCAGGTATGGTACTGAATCTGCCTTGGTTGCCCTGTACGATGACCTGTGCAGGGAGAAGGACAGGGGGAGTGCGTCCCTGTTGGCTCTCCTGGACCTCTCGGCGGCTTTCGATACCATCGACCATGGTATCCTTCTGGATAGGCTTGCGGGATTGGGGGTCGGAGGTACTGCTTTGCAGTGGTTCCGCTCCTATCTCAATGGCCGATTCCAGAAGGTGGTACTGGGGGACTATGGCTCTGCGCCATGGCAGCTATGCCATGGAGTACCGCAGGGGTCCATTTTGTCCCCCTTGCTGTTCAACATCTACATGAAAACGCTGGGAGAGGTCATCAAGAGGTGTGGGCTGTGGAATCATCAGTACGCTGACAATACCCAGCTCTACCTCTCGTTTTCCACCAATCCAGGTGAGGCAGTGGCTGTACTGAACCGGTGCCTGGCCGAGGTAATGGGCTGGATGAGGGCCAATAAACTGAAGCTCAATCCAGACAAGACGGAGGTCCTGTTGGTAGGTGGTTCAGGCTTTGGAGAAGGTGAATTGAACCTTGTCCTGAACGGGGTTGCACTCCCTCCTAGGGATAAGGTCCGCAGCTTGGGAGTGCTCCTCGACCCGGAGCTTTCACTCGAAGCTCAGGTAACAGCAGCGGCGAGGAGCGCTTTCCTCCAGCTCTGGCTGATTCATCAGCTGCGCCCCTATCTGGAGAACGACTGCCTCGCAACAGCGACTCATGCACTGGTGACTTCCCGTCTTGACTTCTGTAATGCGCTCTACGTGGGGCTACCCTTGAAGATGGTCCGGATACTTCAATTGGTTCAAAATAGGGCTGCCAGGCTGCTGACGGGAACTGAACGTTATGTTCACATGACTCCAGTTCTCTGTCAGCTTCACTGGCTTCCCATTGAAGTCCGGGCCAAATTCAAGGTGTTGGTGATGACCTATAAAGCCCTAAACGGCTTGGGTCCTGGTTACCTGAAGAAGCGCTTACGTCCATATATGCCCAGCCGCCCCCTGAGATCAGCGGGAGAGGCCCTCCTCCGGGAGCCCTCAGTGAAGGAAATTAGGAGGGTGGTTACTCAGAGGAGGGCTTTCTCAGCGGTGGCGTCTAAGTTATGGAATGCGCTCCCCAGAGAGGTCCGCCTGGCGCCGTCGTTATTTGTTTTTCGGCGCCCGGAGAAGACCTTTTTATTTAAGCAGCATTTTAAATGTTAATGTTATTGAATTTTATTTGGCCGGGGCAGCTTATTTTATTCTAATGTATATATTTTAATTGTTATTGTTTTAGTTTATTGTGTATTTTATTCTATGTTGTGAGCCGCCCCGAGGCTTCGGCAAGGGGCGGCATAGAAATGTTTTAATAAATAAATAAAATAAAATAAATACTATGAGCCCATATTGAGTGTAGCACTTTAATTCCATCATCTTTTAGGATTTTGAATAGCTCAGCTGGAATAGTGACTTCTCCACTAGCTTTATTGTTCCTAAGACTTCCTAAGGTCTGTTTGACGTCGACCACCCCTTTGTGGTTATCAGGGACATTAAGGTCTGTCATGTATGGTTCTTCTGGGTAATCCTGCCACCCCTTCTTAATCTTTTCTTCCTCTGTTAGGTCCCCAACATTTTTCCTTTAACATCTTTGCAAGAAATGTTTCCTTTCTCTAACTTTCTTGAAGAGATCTCTAATCTTTCGCATTCTATTGTTTTCCTCTATTACTTTGCACTGTTCATTTAAGAAGGCCTTCTTGTCTCTTCTCGCTATTCTCTGGAATTCTGCATTCAGTTGGGTATATCTTTCCCTTTCTCCCTTACCTTTCTCTTCCTTTCTTTCCTCAGCTATTTGTAAAGCTTCCTCAGACATCCATTTTCCTTTCTTTTTCATGTGTTTTTCTTTGGGATGGTTTTAGTTGCTTCCTCCTGTACAGTGTTGTGAACCTCCATGCATAGCTCTTCAGGTGCTCTATCTGATCTAATTCCTTAAATCTATTTGTTACCTCTACTGTATATTCATCAGGGATATGATTTAGGTCATACCTGAGTGGCCTAGTGCTTTTCCCTACTTTCTTCAATTTAAGCCTGAATTTTGCAACAAGAATCTCATGATCTGAGTCACAGTCAGCTCCTGGTCTTGTTTTTACTGGCTGTATAGAGCTCCTTCATCTTTGGCGGCAGAGCACATAATCAATCTGACTTTGGTGTTGACTATCTGGTGATGTCTATGTGTAGAGTCATCTCTTGGGTTGTTGCAAAGGAGTGTTTGCTATGACCAGTATGTTCTCTTGACAAAATTCTGCCAGCTTTTGTCCTGTTTCATTTTGTACTTAAAGGCCAAACTTGCCTGTTATTCCAGTTATCTTTTGACTTCCTATTTTAGCATTCCAATCCCTCATGATGATAAGGACATCATTTTGGGGTGTTATTTCTAGAAGGTGTTGTAGGGCTTCATAGAACTGGTCAACTTCAGCCTCTTCAGCAACAGTGGTTGGTGCATAGACTTGGATTACTGTGATGTTGAATGTTTTGCCTTGGATTCAACCTGAGATCATTCTGTCATTTTGGAGATTGTATCCCAGTACTGCTTTTCCTACTCTTTATTGAGTATGATGACTACTAAATTTCTTCTGAGGGATTCTTGCCTGCAGTAGTACATATGATGATCATCTGAATTAAATTCACCCATTCCTGTCCATTTTAGTTCACTGATTCCTAAGATGTTGATGTTCAGTCTTGTAATTTCATGTTTGACCACATCCAGCTTACCTTGATTCATAGTTCTCACACTCCAGGTTCCTATGCAGTTTTGTTCTTTATAGCATTGGACTTTCCTTTCACCACCAGATACATCCATGACTGAGTGTCCTTTCAGCTTTGACCCAGTCACTTCATTCTTTCTGGCACTACTTGTACCATCCCTCTGCTCTTCCCTAGTAGCACATTGGAGACCTTCCAACCAGAGGGGCTCATAGTTCAGTGTCATACCTTTTTGCCTTTTGGTACTGTCCATGGGGTTTTCATGGCAATGATACTGGAGTGGGTTGCCATTTCCTTCTCCAGTGGATAATGTTCTGTCAGAACTCTGTGCTATAACCAATCCTTCATGGGTGCCCCTGCATGGCATAGCTCATAGCTTTATTGTGCCACACAAACCCTTTTGTCATGGCAAGGCAGAGATCCATGAAGGGGAAATCCTAATTTTATTGTATTTATTCTCACACAATAATTGGAAACTTCCTTTCCAACTGGGACTGGCCACTGGGACCGCCCGGTGAAGCTGCTGTCTCTATCCTCTTGGGACTTCATGATGAACATGGAAGAATTGTAGTGAGAGCTTATTTGGATATGATTACTCAGTTAATGGCTCTAGAAAAAACAACAGCTGGGAATGCAGAAATCAGCGGAAGGAAGCTGGAATTATCTGAGTGGACTGGTGCAGATCACACATTCTTCTCTCAGCATGAAGGCTGGCCCTGACAGTTAATTATCAACACCTTGTACTGTATCCAGAAATGTATTGGCAACTAATGAAAAGGCTTTAAAACAGGTGATACCTGGTCTCTCCATGATGTCCCAGAGACCAGCCTGGCTGCCACATTTTGTATTTGTGCAGTTTCCAGAGGAGGCACGGGGTAGCCCTACATAACAGGCATTGCAGAAATCGATCCTAGAAGTTATGGACTTGTGCAGTACTGTTTTCAGGTCATTCTCCTACAGGAAGGGTCACAGTTCTGTTAGTGGATGCATAACTCGATGCTATTTCTTTGACATTTGTGTGGCTATAGAAACCTACTTTCTGACAGCAATGACCTATGATCACTATCTGGAAATACACAAACCTTTGCTGGATGCATCAATCACGCCAAGAAAGCAGAGTTTTCAGCTCATGGTTGGGGCATAGATAAATGCTTTAGGCAATTCCATGATGGGGTTTTTTTTTGCTAGCACATTTATACTTCTGTGGATCCAGTGTCATAACTCATTTCTTCTGTGACTTCTTCGCAATTGAAAAGCTTTCTTGAAGTGACACTAACCTGATTCAACTTGTTGCCTCTCTCTTGTCACTCTCTCCTGATCTACACTGCCATTCCATTCCTAATAACTCTTATATCCTATGTCTGCATCATTGCTACCATTTTAAAGATTCCATCCACTTTGGGTGACAAGAAGCCTTTTTGACATGCTTCTTTTGTCTCACTGTGGCTTGTGTTTTTACAGCTTGGTAATCCTTGTCTACATGTTGCCAGATGCTCCAATTCAGGAAGACCTCAGGCTACATTCTCCCTCTTCTGCACAGTCCTGAATCACTCAATCTAACCCCTCATCTACACTCTGAGGAACACAGAAGTTCACAGCACCATCAAACACTAGGCAGTCAATTGGCAGGCCGTGCAAGGAACCAGCTTTTTCCTTCAAGTGTTAAATGAAGATCACTGAGCATGCTGTGGAGCACCATGTGGTGCCCACTGGGTGAGAATGTGGTGGCAAAAGGGCTTATTACTATGGTATAAAACCTATGGTTCCCACAAGAGTCCCCAGGGGGAAAAAGGATGGCTTGTAAAACTGCTCAGAAGAGGAAATCAACCACAGCCCCTTACTCCTCACATCTTACATGGAAAGAACTATTCCAGGTGTCTCTCCAAGTTCAGAAAGCACACCTTGGAGCCTCAGGAAAATGGGCATTCTGGTGGACCAAGGGAGGGGCTACAGAAAGTAGCATAAGAATTATCCCAAGCCCCACTGATCTCCTTTCCATTCTGTCCACAATGTCCTCTGGGCATGAGGGGATGGGGAACTGTGGATCACCTTTGCTGTTCTTCCTGCTCTACCAGCTTCAGTTTGAGTTTTGGGGGCTTCTGAGCAGCAAGAGCACAATTGGTAGGAGTGTGGCCTTAAAAGTGTTTTTAATACAGGGATACCAATGCAAGTAGAAAGCAAGGACACTAGGGAAGCACACAGGAAGGTCTGGGAACTGGAAATATTATAGGCTTTCAGGATGCTTATTAACTTTCAGCATACCTAGATTTACACCCATACCTAGCTCTTTCTGAAAATTCTGGAAAAAATGCCCTCCTTTCAAGTATAGGTGTATGTTGGTCTCTCAAATGGGCAAATATTGCATTATATTAGGAACTCATCCCTGAAAAAATTTCCAATCACTTGGGTTTAGATTGAATTAGAATTTTTGCCCTTTAACTTCACTCCTTTGTTCTTATGGCCATCCTATATCACAGTAGCTAATGTTCTTACAATCAATATTTATACATTAGCTTCCTGAAACACAACAAAGGGGTTAAACCATAGGGTTCCAGAAAAAGGGACACTGCTCACAATGAGCTAGTAGTTAGTGATGACTAACAATGTAATCCTAGATACACTCACCTAAGTATATGCACTAGTGGACAAATGCAGTCTTACTTCTGAGTAAACATTAAAAGGGTTTGTTGAAACTGAAAGCAAAGAGACTTGAGACTGTCATTGATTGATTGACTGAAATATGTGTATCACAATTTTCCATCCTACAACATGGGATATACTGCATTGACAACAAACAATAGTTTTACTTCTAAGAAGATTTACAATATCCTGAACAGAAACAAAGAAACAACAGAGTCATCAAAACAGAAAGGAAAAATGTTCAGTTGTTCCCTGTGCCTTAGATGCAAATTAACAAATTAGATTTTGCCAGATATGTAAACATTACCAAAGAGTGACCAAAGCCTTCCTTTCTAGGAAAGGGGCTTCACAACATGGGTACCATAATCAAGAATAGACAAGCTCATAATACTATAGACAAGCTCTGTCTATAGTAACCACCCACCACACTTTTGCCAGTGGTGGAACAGGGAGTAGGACATTCCCTACAGGCCAGAGTGGACTGGCAAGATTTTGTGGATGAAAATAGTACTTTTGAATATCTAGGTAATGAATGACTTAAAGATAAGGACAGGATTGATCTTCATTGAGCTTTGTTTGTTTGCTTGTTTTGTTCCACTTACCCTCATAGTAAAATGATTTATTGAGTTTGCTAATAGCATCCTTGTGCCAAATACTGACGTTCAGGTTATATACAGACCAGCAGTCAGAAAACCTGAGGTCATTTTTTGTATACATGCTGATAATCTGCTTGAATTGGCCTCAAAAACAGGTCAAGAGCCTGTGAATGTTGCACAATCATGATGTCACATATTCTGAAAAGCAGGCCTAGGTCAAAACTGTTGCAGCAACATTTTGAATCAGCTGAAGACTCCTGACACATTTAAAGGGAATCACATTTAGAGAGCATTACAATGATCTAACTTAGATGTATTATTTGCAATGAACATGCCACTTTGCTTTAACTGAACTTAGGTTTAAAATAATCACGGCAATGACCATGTCAAAAGAAGGGGAAATGGGTGTGAATGGAATGAAGGAGCAAATGAAATATGACTGTGTGTAATCTACATAACTGGTTCTAACCATTTACATATTGGTACAATGGAATAATGTGTTCACTATTGCTTTTTGTCCCAGTAGCTTCCTATTAATGAAATCACTTGGAAGGCATGTCTTGTAGTGTGTCTTACCTACACACACAGTAGGACTGTTAAACAAAAAAGGATGGAAAATGGATTTTAAGAATTCCAGAACTGATATGACTATATACTTACTGGAATCCTTCAAAGAAACACCACTTTGCAGTATACTCTTCTTAGAGCTTTGTGGACATCTTTGTTTCTTAGACTGTAGATTGAGGGATTGACCAGAGGAGTCAAGACTGTGTAAAAGACAGAGAAGACTTTATTGAGGTCTCTCAGAGTGGGGGTGTCCGGCAACATGTAGACAATGATGATTGTCCCATAAAAAATGCAGACCACTGTGAGATGAGAGGAGCAGGTTGAAAAGGCCTTTTGTCTTCCAGTGATGGATGGCATCTTTAGGATGGTGAGAATGATGCAAACATAGGATGTGAGAGTCATTAAGAAAGGTGTGATTGTGAAAATGAAGGTTGACAGAAAAGTGACCAGTTCAATCAGGCTTGTGTCACTGCAGGAAAGTTTTTCCAATGGAACAAAGTCACAAAAGTAATGATCAATGATGTTGGGACCACAGAAGGGTAACTGAGCCATCAGAAACAAGATTATGCCATTGGCCAATAAAGAATCAATCCATGCCCCTGTCATGAGCTGAACACAGAACTTTCCATGCATGATGGAGGTGTAATGCAAAGGTCTACATATTGCCAGATAGCGATCATAGGACATTGCTGCCAGGAGGTAAGTCTCTATACCAACGCAAGAACCAAACAAATAAAATTGGGCCAGACACCCACTAATAGATATGGACCTCTCGCCACTTAACAAATTGGCCAACATTTTGGGTAAGATGATCGAGCTGTAGCAAGTCTCCAGGAAGGACAAATTCCCCAGGAAGAAGTACATGGGGGTGTGAAGCTGCTGATCAGTGAGAGTTAGTAAAATGATGAGGAGATTCCCAGTTATTGTCACAATGTAGATTATTAGGAACAGCAAGAAAAGAAGAGGTTGCAAGTCCTGGAGATTCCCAAAACCAATAAGGATGAATTCCATGATGGCTGTACAGTTCCCCATTTCCTCATTCCACATAGATTTAATCCAGTGTAGGTCACACAGACACTTGAATAAAATCACAAGTATATCAATTTTAATACAGAGGCATCAACCAAGACTTGTGAGTTTTAAGTGTACAGAGAATTTTGAGCTGAGTTATCCAATCAGATCTTTTTGCTCACATGTACTTGTGGAAATCCTGTAACCATGAAACATCACTAATTTATCTGCTATTATATTCTGCTAATCTATTTCTGCATTCTTCATTGGTTGGGGGCTTCCGTGATTTCCATTTAGAAGCTATTGTGTTTCTTGCTGCATAACCCCATGTTTCAACTGCATAGATAATTCTGAGCATGACCATTCATTGCAAAAGGCATTTCCTCTGCTCCTACTTATTGTTCTTGTTGAATCCGAGGCTGGGAAGCAGAATTGACTTTGTGTTCCTGGAAAAGGGATAGTGCAAGTTAAATAAGACAAGCAGATGACTTTAGTTCAGCTGACATTTTAGTTACTTTATTTATTTTATTTATTAATAAATAAATTTATTTAGTTTTAGAGGAAAAAAGATGGGCTATAAATGCAGTGTGATAATAACAAAAGAAGATCAAAGCAGCCTAAAACACCCCCCCCCCCCCATTATAGCCTTCCAACGATCATATTTGGAGGCTGTGAAAAAGTGAGACTGATGCTGACAGCTTCATCCTGATTGGTGGGTGTGGGATCTGAACCTGGATCTTCAAGGAAAGCAATCGATTGGCATCTGCTGCTGGCTTAGTTCCAAACTTTAAGGAAGGTAAGTGTGGCTGCTAATTGGATTGGGGGAAATCTACTTGGAGGACAGAGATGGATTAGCAATGCTTCCCTGATATAAATCACCTCCTTCCTGAAGCTGCTATTAGTTCTGTAGGAAGAGGAAGGCTTCTAATAATGAATTATTTCAATTCTTTCTACACTGGATGGAGAAATTCATGTGCCAGTCATGAGAAGGAGGCTGCATTTCTCAGTGCCCAGTACAGTGGTATCAACTAACCTTAGATTCAGTGCTAAGTGATGTCACCCAGGACCTAGGAGAAGGTTTTAGTGTTGACAAAACCAGTTGGAAATGATGCCCAAAGTGCTCTCAGATCACATGCACACATGTGTGCATGCACAAACACACAGAAAGAATGAAAAATTGCCAAGGATTTCCAACACAGGCTTCAGAAAAGGTAATTTTCCTAGAATGATGACACTAATACAAAGAAAAGTTGAAAGGGGGAGACAAGAGAATTAAATCCCTTCAGAAATCTCAGAGGTTACTCAAAACCACATTAACAGAAGCTCAGCTAGATTGTATCCCACATGCTGGGAAAAGTGGCTTCATTCTAAAGGTAATCAGTATGTTAAGGAACAAGCAATGTTAAGGAAGTAATTATAAAAGAGAAGATGACTTCCTTCAGAAAATGGAAGTCCTCTGTAAATAAGGAGAACTAAAACAAGCACAAACTTGCCCCAAGGAGACACAAGGAGACAACAAGTGGTACAAAAAAGGAGGAATTTTAAGGAGCCTTTTGCTAGCAACATCAAGGAACAATAAATAAATATTTAGATATCAGAAGCAGGAAACCACCTAGAAAGACAGTTGAGCTATTGGATGAAAACGGAGTTAAACGGAGCTAAAGGACAATAAGGAGACTGCAGAGAAGATGAATGGATTGCTTCCTACTCTTTCCACTGAAAAAGATGTAAGACATAGAATGGTGTCTGATGTCTTCAGGAGTAAGAGCAAAGGCTAATAGAATGATAAAAAAAAATAAAGTACTTTTTGCTGACAATTAATAAATTGCCAGGTGTAGATTGTATCCATCCTAGAGTTCCTAGGGAACTCAATGTGAAATTGCTGGTACAGACCATGTTCCTAAGTTTCATCTTTGTACTCTGCTATGTAGCATCTCACAGAGTCAAGATACCATCAGCACTAACATAGAAACAGAGCAAGTTGGAAGGGGCCTCCTGGGTCTGACCCCTGGCTCCAGCTGACTCCACTCACGACATGCCCACCATGTGCATGTCCAGCTTATCTTTGAACACCCTCACTGATGGGACCTCAACGACCTCTTGTGGAAGCCCATTCCACACTCTCGGGTTCCTAACTGTCAGGAAGTGCTTTCTGGCATCTAAATGGAACCTTGGTTCTCTGAGCTTTGCTCCATTGCAGTGCGTCCTGCCTTCCTCTTCAGGGGAGAACAGATCTCTACTCATCTCCATGTGACATCCCTTCACATACCTGTATGTTGCCAACAAATCCCCTCTGAGTCTCCTCTCCTCCAGGCTGAAGAGATGCAGTTCCCTCAGTCTCACCTCATACCCGATCCCCTGCAAACTGGCCACCAACCTTGTGGCCCTACACTGCACTGACTCTAACCTGGCTATATCCTTTCTGTAATGAGGGGCCCAAAACTGAGCACAGTACTCCAGTTGTGGGTGCACCAGAGTCATATAGAGTGGTACCTGCAGCTATTCTCTGACACACTGAGTGATGTTCCAAGATGAAGCATCAGTTAAGAGGGTGGTTCTCAAAAAAATATGAAGAGGACACAGTGGGCTCTGTGCAAATTGGAATTGTATCAATTGCAGAATTAAACTGCCTCTCACAAAAGCTTCAAAGAAGTACACCAGGGGATTTGCTGTTGATTGGCCACCTGAAAAACATTTATGACGCAACTGGCTTGCTAAGAAGGCCTCCAAAGAGATGCCAATATTCATTCTTGCACCATGGGAGTGCTTTACTCTCTAGCTAAAAATACAACTTAACTCTTCAAAAGGTGGTTCAGATGTTCAAAAACCACCTCAGAGCCTATCAATTAATGCTGACTATGGAGTATATGAAGGGACTGCAGGTGGCGCAGTGGTTTAAACTGCTGTGCTGCTGGGCTGGTTGATCAAAAGGTCACCAGTTCGAATCTGCACAACGGGGTGAGTTCCCACTGCTCCGTCCCAGCTCCTGCCAATCCTGCAGTTCAAAAGCATGCAAATGCAAATAGATACAAAGGTACCACTTCGGTGGGCAGGTAACAGTGTTCTGTGCACTTCGGTGTATAGTCATGCCGGCCACATGACCACGGAGACTGTCTGTGGACAAACGCTGGCTCCCTCGGCTAGGAAACGGAGTTGAGCACTGCCCCCTAGAGTCAGGCATGACTGGACTTAACGTCAAGGGGAAACCTTTACCTTTACTATGAAGTATATGACACTGGTTGTCCACTGATATCACTGAAGCATCCTAATTGTGATTTCTTTCATTATTCTAACATATCTTTTAGATGTACATATCATAAAATCCCACCCAAGTAGCAAGGGCTGACCCAGTTGCATCACCCACACAAACTAGATCTAAATGTTTTGAGTTTTTGTATACTAGAAGGAAAATCCGTTGACCTTTTGTGGTAATCCACATTTCTCACAACTACCTAAAGAAAATACACTTTAACTGAAATTATCCTGTTCATTATGAGTGGGAATTCTGCAGAAATTTTAGCTTTGCAAATTCTGATATACACTAACCTGATTTGCACCGCCTTGACTAATGTGTAGGCTGAAGTATAGTCATCTGCTACACTTCTCCAAATGTTGTAACATTATTATTTCAAAGTACATCTGATGATGTGTCATTTTGAGATAAAATATGTTTAGAAATGTGTACTTTGAGGGCAAAATGCACTCAAAAACAAATATTTAAATGCACATTAAAATGTGATCATCCTGTGGATATTCATGCTGACTATAAAAAGCAATATTAATTGCAATTTCTGTGATTTCAAGTTGGTTTTACTCATGGTTTCATATGGGGAGATTCTGGTTTCAAGTTGTATCGTGATAGAATGTAAAACATATTTATAAGCAAAGTCATGTAATACTGACACTGACCATGAAAATAAAGATTTGTCCATGATCTAATCTGAGTTCATTCCTTCATGTATTCTTTTAAAGAACCATCTTTAACATTTCATTCTTGTTCAGGTCATGTCTCAAATCCTATTATTGCAATAATGCCTTGTGAATCGATTTTTTCCTTTACCTTACTTGGAAACCCTAACGCTGTTTCTTCATCTGCATAAAGATCTTCTTAAGTAAATCCATACAGCTGTAAACTCATGTAACTGGAAGTCCCTAAAGCAAGGAATTAAAGAGTAGTGATTGGATAAAATCTGGGAGATTATGACTATTTATAAACTGACTGATAAGTGCAACAAACATGAATTCTAACTTCAAGAGGGATGTGATGGTGCAAGGGCTTCCATTTATTTTCTGGGTTGAAGCCCTTCAAACTTCTGAGTGAATTCCAGCCAGGTACAATTACTTGTCACGTATGCTGCTATACCCCTTTGGAAAAGGGTTATCAGTCATGCCTGAAGAAGAGGTGTGCTCCAGTCCCATCCCTCTCTTCTACTAGCTTTCTTGCTCACTACTTATGGAGGGCACCTGTCTGAAAAGGAAAGTCTCCTGTCTCCATGGAGATTCTCCATGTGAGTCAGAATATTGAAAAAATGTGTTCTGGGTCTTGCAAAGAGACTCCAGAGATACAGGAGGTTTTCCCTTCAGATGAGTAGATAGCAACAAATGTGATGGAGGGAACAGGGCTTAGGAATCACATGTTTCAAGTTCAGTCAGTGTTTGTTGTATTTTGAATAATTGCAACTTCAAATTCTTGATTCATATGGACAGTGCTTTTTTGTAAAAAAAATAAAATAAAAGGTGCCAGAACTCACGACTTGGGGTCACACTTTTACACAATGGTCGCTGCCGGCAGTAAGCACTCAGCATGAGACCACATGATCAATCCCAAGCCGAGCAGTGCCCCCACAATCAACGCCGACAATCAGCACCGACACACAAGCAGCCCGCAGGCACTATGTTAGTGATTTTTGCTGCCGACCTGCTACGCCCACAGGGTGATTCACAATCACTTGGAAAAATCCATCAAAAAATGGTGCCAGAACACCATTCCAGTGCGTTCTATGACAAAAAAAGCCCTGCAT